TATTTAAATTAAAAAAAATTGTTTAGACAGAAAAGTTTATCCTTTTTCACCAATATAAGTTTCATATGGAATGTATAATTGCGATTGGCAAATAAAAGCAAAAGGCATTAACTACATTGAATAAATCTATTACCTAGGATCATATAATTACATAAGTATCTCAACTTTATAAAAAAAGCAACACAGCACAACACAACCAAGAAACCAGTAGTTGTGTTTCAGAGAAACTGTCCCTCTTCACATAGCGACATTGCTATCCCCACCACCATATCCAACCCAGGTAACCCCACTTCCACCTTTATTCAGTTCAAAATATCTTAGCTTATATTATTACTATCTTTTCTCATTAATTTAATAATATAACATCACAATTATAATTTTGCCACTTCAAAACAAATTACTTGATTATGTAAGGAAAACAGAGAACATGGACCATAAAGTAACGATAAGGAAAACATATATAATTGAATGTACATATTTTGTATTTAAAAAGAAAGCAAATATGAGTGTAGCGAAAACGTAATTACAAAATATATATATATATATATATATATATATATATATATATATATATATAAAGAAAACTAATAAATTTATTTGTAGTGGTAAATTCTTATATAATAGCATTTCGAGAACAAGTCATCCTTGTTAATGTTACTAGATGAATTCCGACAATCGTAATACACGTTATCCATCTTATGTTTTATTAGTTTATCAAATTTTTTAAATAATATGTAATCAAAATGTAGAATTTTATAAATGCATAATGTACTGAGATATTTGAAGATATATCTATAACCGACTAGACATAACAAAATATCTGAACAACTAGAATAATTACCAAAACAACAATTTATTATAATTAATTTATTATCTTACTATCTTATCTACCAAAATGCATATACTTCGCAATCAACTTTTATCTTTAAATTATCTTAATTACTTTTTCAGTCTTGGTTGAAAGACCTAACAACTTAAAAAATATGTATTAGAAAGACCTAACAACTTGAAAATATGTATCAACCATAAGAGAGTTTACTTATTCAATTTCCCTCACTCACTTCAATGCTATTATATTCTATAAATGTTTAACTTTTTTACTTAAACAATAGATAATTTCCTACGCGTAGATCAAATTTTGATTTCTTAAAAATACCACTCTTCTCACTTCAAGATAGAACAGTCCTTTCCATTGAGAAAACGCGCAACCGCGCGCGCGCGCGTATATATATATATATATATATATATATATATATATATATATATATATTACAAAAAATTTGATATTTAATGGAGGTTTATTTTCTAATTTGCAGATGTTTTTACCTTTAGTAAATTAATTTGTGAGGTTTTTTCAAATCTCTATCGTTAGAGTCGTAATTATTAATTTGTGAAAATTTTTAATGATCTTATATGTAGAGGGTTTTTTTGTGGAGGAACAGTGTAAGATTGACTAAAAACATAAGACTTGCACTTGTAACTGATAATATGAATCCTTATGGAACTTAAGTACCAAACATAGTTTATAATCAGTTATGTTGATGATATACAATCTTTCTCCTTTGTTAAGCATGAAGAGAAAATATGTGATGTTGTTCATGATGATATCAAGTCCTAGACAATCTGAAAATGACATTGATTTGTATTTGAAACCTTTAATCGATGATTTGAAAATGTCGTGGGAAGAAGGTGTCGACGTCTTCGATTCAAATATTCAAGAAACTTTATGTTTGTGTGCAATGTTGTTTTGCATTATAAATTATTTCCCATCATATGGAAACTTGAGCGGTTATAGTGTTAAAGGTCATTTTGCATATCCCATTTGTAAGAAAACATTAGTTACCTTCAATTGAAGCATGGTCAAAAAATGGTATATACAAGACATTGAAAATTCCTTCCTCAAAATCACTTGTACTGTAGATTGAAAAAAGTATTTAATGGAAGTGTTGAGGATAATGTTGTGTCCAAATCCCGCAATGGTGAAGAAGTGTACAAGAAAGTAAAAAACATTGACATTGTCTTCGGAAAACATCAAAATAAGACCATTGAGAAAACATTTGGAAGAAATAATCAATATTTTTTAATCTTCCATATTGGTGTAAACTTGATGTACAACATTGTATAAATGTGATGCGCATTGAAAAAACAATTGTGACAGTGCATCGAAACTTTATGAAACGTTAAAGGAAGACCAAAGACGAAATAAAAGCACGACAAAATTTGACTAACATGGGAATCCATTCTGAGTTACATCCACAATCAATTGGAAGATGCACATTTTTACCCCAACCTGTCACACTCTTTCTAAAAAAGAAAAAAAAAATTTATTAAGTCTTTAAGTAGTGTGAAGGTTCCACAAGGTTATTCTTCAAATATTAGTAACCTTGTTTCTATGAAACAATTGTTGTCAATTGATATTCGAGGCATATTACCTGCTTCTATTAGAGGTATTCTGACATGCTTGAGTTTGTTCTTTAATGTCATTTGCAAGAAAGGTGTTGACCCTTGAGTTTTAGATGATTTGGAAAATGAAGGAATCAAACTATTGTGCAAATTGGAAATTAATGGTCGTCATTCCAAGACAATGACAAATTCTATGGTTTTGTTCCCTGCATAGGAGGATGAAAAATGACTTGAAAAACATGCTACAAGGGTAAGTGTTTTTCAAATGTTTAAAATCCATGTTAACCTTAAATTTTTATGATGAATATAATTATATTAATAACACCCTATGTTTTCAATGTAAATAGAGTTATGAGTAAACCCAAGGTCAACTAGTTCAAATCCTGTATCCAAATATTGTAACTCATTTATAGTTCTTATTCATTTTCTATGTTATTGTATGATCTACATGTGTGACTATTTAGTTTGTCATTTTAGTATAACAAGCAACTAGATTCATGGAAATGTGGCTACTATGTCATGTCTTGGATTAAAACAATCATTCGAGCTGACATTACAGATGACTAGATTGATGTAATGATACTTACCTTCCATACATTACAAATCATATTTAGCTTTGAACATATGCAAACATAGTGAATTTGACTTGATTTTGCAGTGCTTCAAGAATACATCTTCTATATTAGAGGATACAATTAAAAAGATACGACAAGAGTGAACAACTTATCTTCTACAGAGATGAACTTAGGACTCATGCCCATGCCTTTAGGAACCATTTTATTTTTGTTAAATACATTAATTAGCTTAAGTTTAAGTTTAAGTTTTGATAGTTTAAGTTTTAGATTGTTTAGTACTATAATCCCTTGAAACACATAAAATATATTATTTTGTGATGTGCTATGATCATTTTCTGTTTTTTAGGTGTGATTTTATTGTAAAAACAAATTTATTTAAGAAAAAAAACAAGTTGGATGTCGGTTAGAGTAGTGTTCGACATCAATTTCGTTCTAGTGGCTTCCCCTGAATTTTGTAGCTCAACGTAGAGACGTGCTCAACGAAGATGGACGTCCGTTAAACATAGGTCCGATGTTAATTGAGACGTCTGTCCATGTGGAATCCAACGTCAATTGGTGTCCAGTGGATCATCGACGTCCAATTGACGTCTCCCAATATGACGTCAAAGCTTGGTCAAACGTTAAATACCGAAAATAATAGACGTTAAAAACTTTTTTTTGTAGTAGTATTATCACTTACACCATGCACCTTGTTATTTAAAATATTTCCTAGAATCTTATTGACTCATCAAGCTCTTTGTTACTTGTAATACTTCATAGAACCTAACCCTCATCAATACTCTATCCTTTTAACATTTACCTAATTATTCAAAGAATCTCTAAGTTCAAAATGACCCTTATATGATAATCCCTTGGTCCATACTTAAACAAAATATGAAAAAACAACAATTTGAAAAAATGATATATATTTCTAAAATGAAACCTGGTATCTTTTTTTCTAAACCATAACTGTATTGTCATTTTGAGGTTACTATGATCCTATACTATACTCTAACTTTTTTGAAACATTTTGTTATCGCTAAAATAATATAACTTTATTATATTTAATGATTTAATTTAACTGATCAGAAGATTGATTAGTGTCAAAACGAAGTGTTTTTGGTATTATCAATCTTGGTTAACATTAGTGATATCACCATTATTTGCTGATAAAAAAATATTACTATTAATTAACCAATCAGCCGTTATATATATATATATATATATATATATATATATATATATATATATATATATATATATATATATATATATATATATATATATATATATATATATATATATATAATCTCGAAACATAATTGGTCCGAGAAATCCAATTTCAATCATTAACAGGTTTAACAAAGGGACACGAGAAAGGAAACAGAAAAATGAAAATTTATTTCTCCCTTCACTGGAAAATAAAAAAATTGGGGTGAATCATATCACAGTTATTTCTGTCTTTTTCATGAATAGAAAGTAAAGATAGAGAAGAGAAAAAGTTTGTCCATTCTTTTTCATAATCGATCAGATAGCATGGATGCTTTTATAGCAATTCCACAGTTCAAAATATGTTTATGAAAATATCTTTATGCGTTATTTAGGGTATAAATAATTTAGATTGTATTTATTATATTATATTATTATTATTAATATATGATAAATTTATTGAAAGGTAAACTTATTCTAAATACCAATATTAGTTAGACTAGAACATTTCAACCAGTCATTCTTTAATATTACTGTATCTTTGGATCTTATTATTAGCCATGTATTCCTTTTAATTATTGTTTTTATCTCAGTCTCAATTTAACTTATTCGTGACAAATTCAAAATAGAAATTATATATGAAGAAATGCTTATATAATAACCCAGTTTTTCCATATATAGAAAAAGTGAAAATTGAGTTTCATGAATCACGAATTGAAAACAAGTTACGCGCATGGGATGCGCAGATACCATAAAATAGGGCATGAGTTGCACGCGCCAACGAAAGCGCCCAATCCCCACTCTCTCTTCAACGACCCTTCAAAATATCTGGCTCACGTTACCTCAAGATATTATCTGCCGGATGACGTGGCATACCAACGACTGTACTGACACGTGTAAAAGCGAAGCCATGTGGAACCTTTTTCCTTCCCCGCATACATCCTCTCTTCCCCTCAACCGAACACAGAGGGTTTCTTCTCCGCTGAAACTCCGATCACGCTTCATGGAACCGCAGGATCTCCCTCGCCACCTTTCGCCGCCGCTCTTCTCCGATCCGGAACCATTGCCTGAGTACCTCACTCGCTCCACCTCTGACTCCTCTGCTGTCACCGTCGAGGACACGTCCAAGGACTTCTCGTCTCATTCCGCGCCCGCTCCGCTTCTGGTAACTTCACTCCTTTCCAATTCCTCTTGCCAACATAGTAACGGATTTTTCTATTTCGCTTTTGTTTCTCGATTTTGTGGTCGGAGCTTGTCTTCAGGGGTTGATCTTAGAGGTTTTTAGCGTATCTCGAACGGGAACGTGCCTGTAATTAGCCGTTTGAATTATTGGTCCTTTTAGTGCGTCCGCGTTTTGGTTTTTTGGTGTTTAAGCGCGCAATTTTGCTTCGCATGCTTTCACTGGCTATATCTGATATTTGTTGGTTAAATTCTGCAATTAATTAGTCGAGAATATCTGAAATCTGAAACCAGTGGAGGAAGGGGAGTAATTGTACTGATATGATGAATAGCATCAAGTAACTGAAATTGATATTTGTGTTATAAATTTGCGGCCAGTTTTCTCTTCTGTAAGATTTGAGTTTGACAGTGGATGCTGACACTTTGAAATCAACTTTGTTCTTCAATCTCTTATGTTTGGCCTCTTAAATAGTTCTTGTTCACCCTTTTGTCCAAAATTGTTTATACCGTTTAGCATCTGTGGTTTGGCATATGATTTCAGTAGCAGCAACGGGTGTGCTCGTATGTGCAACAAAAAGCTTATTTTTATTCAGTTGAAGCTGATGTGAAATACTTGAACAAGCTTTAGGGAGTTAAATGAAAAACTTATAAATAATGAGAGATTTAATTCAGATGAAGCGTCATTTAAATACTTTTGATTGGCTCTTAGTTTTCAGATTATCTAGTCTTTGTTATTGGAATTATAATAAAAAAATTTGGTAGTTGTATAGCAACTAATTTAGTTCCTACATGGACTTAAATCGCTTGGTACTTATTTCTTATTTTCAAAGGCTATTTATAAAAGCCTATTTGTTTGCTGATAAATATGATAGTTTGAAATTCTCAATCTTAAATTGTATTCCATGTTCGTGATTTCTAGTGAAGATGGAAAATTTTCTCTTCATTTTGTTGGCAAAGACATACTAAGCTCATTTTTTTTCCAGGATCAGTCAACTAGATGGACGGATCAGCAGCACAGTCTATATATTCGTTCTTTAGAAGCCTCATTTGTGAATGAATTGCATCGTTCTATGCGTTTACGTCGTTGGAGCATAAAAAATAGCACAGATGAAGCATGTCAGTATAGAATTTTACGAAATTCACATAATATGCCTAAGCAGGTCAGACATAAATTCAAACATCATCTCTGTGGTGTGGATGTATGTTCATTTTTGTACATCTCCCTGCACAATTATGCTTTATTATCTTTTGTTGCTTTCAGACCCTGGCTTTACAAGATGCCTGCCAGAAGAGGATCAACCTTGAAAGAATTTCACCTTTGTTTGAGAGCACTGCTGATTCTCATATTCTTACAGGAAGTCAATTTGAACTTGCATCTGTGGATAGAGGCTGTAGTTTGGAAGAGCCTATTAACTGCAAGCATGGCTTGTTTTGTGATCAGGAAATTCATGCAAGAGGAAGTTCAACATTAGAATTGGCTTTCAGTACTACAGGTACCTTCAATTTTGTTTCTTTTAATGCACATTGGCCATCCTGTAAGCTAGAATGTGATACTTTCTATCACCCCATAATTTCTTGATCCTTCGGTATATGGCTGTCATATATAATACAGATTGTTTCCTTTCTCTCTCAAAATACCTGCATATAGTTCAATCAGCAGTTACATTATCAAATTATGTTGGTCAGTTATTTAAGTTCACATAACATGGAGTTTCTCAGTTTTTATGGGGTCTAAATGATGTGTCTCGTACCAAGTACCAAATAACAAAGGACGCATGAATTAGTTTTGAGTTTACTTGCTGTAAAAACTTATCAATGACGGCTCATAGTACTCTTGGTTCAGGATCTGTGGTTATAGACTACTAGTTATGTTATGAAGTTAATATTTTGTTTCCGGCTAAAGGGTGTTCCTTGGCAGTTAACACAATGGTAAAGTTGTGATCTGGCTGCAGGTCATAGGTTAAAATCCTGGAAATGATATCTCTCCTTGCAGGGGTAATATTGTACAAGTCTACCCTTCGTAGACTGCACTAGGTGAAAAATATTTAGCCAACCCACATGTCTTTATGCTGCTGTTGATGATGGGATATTAAATATTTGAGTTGAGCACTTATGTTCGGGACTGACTCATGAAAATATAAGAGATAAGTGAAGTTTAACTACATTATTTAAGAGTAAAAAATCTAAAGCTTGAGCTAGACATAGTTTAACTTGTACATGGTTTGATTATCTTTTCAATTGGATTTAACTTTAAATAATTTTATTCGTTAATTAGTATTCAATTATCAATAGATACTTTCATGTTAGTAAGTGAAGGAAAGTTGTTTAAAAATATAAATTTATATTCATAATAATGACTTAGAATCTGGAAAATAAATTTTTGATGATGAAAATGGTATAAATATTTTTAAGAAAGTTCATTGTTACTGTTGTAGCTAAAGTTATTATGTTCTTAAGCCAGAAGCATTCAAAGTGTATTTTTTTACCTATTCCTTCTTACAAAATGCTTCGGATTATTTATGGATGAGATGACTGCTAAAGACTTCCTCTTTTTCTGGTAATCAACCTTGTTAAGCAAGGTAATGCCAACTAGGAAACCTCACTCTATGTTAACATTGCAGAGAACAGCACCTGCCATATACTGTGCCTTTTGTGGTTAGTTATCTTTCATGGGTCTTTGAGTATCTGAGCTTGACTGCAAGCATAGGACTACACGTAAGGCCTAAAAGTCTGGGGTTGGCCTATTGCCTATCTAAGTCAAATAACAGAGTAAATGAGACCAGACGGTTCACAGCCCCTTCAACTCAAGACTGAAGGCGAAGAGCCTAAAACTAGGATCATGTTCAATTTGAGCATGACAAAGTCGGACAGTACAGTTATCCGCCTAAAATTTGATTTATTGGGTTATATATAAGTTAATAATGTACAGAATTATGACTTTCCTTGTAAATACTAAATAAGAGTACAACTATTTAGATAATTAGGTAATACATACAAATATGAACAACTTAGTATTAATTCGAGTCCATAAATCTTGAGCATGACTCACTTAAATCAAGCCTTAACTTTTAAGTTTGTGTTTGTTTGTTTATGAAACAGACTTTGAATAAACAACAAACAGTGGAAATAATTTACACCACTATTGATGACAGTGGACTTCATCTATTTACTTCTCTAGCAATAATGGTACTTTATGTTTTTTTCCCATTGTATATCCTTGTGTGAATAAAAAAGGAAACATGTTTTACAGATAGAAATAACTATAAATTACAATTAAACCTATGTCATATTTCTCATATTTATGCATGATATGTATAACTTTATGTGCTATTTGTGTTTATGCATGATATGAATAACTTTGTGTTATTTGTGTATCTCAGTTACGTTCTTGTCGGTGAATAAGTTCTGCAGTCAATATTCTTTTTAACTTTTAATTGCATAACCACATTGCATTTACGATTTTTTAAGAAAATGGAAATAATTTCAGATGGTGCTTGTAATTCCTTTTAACATGTTCTTAAGAGATGTTCCTTGTAAGAGATGTTCCTTGTAATTTCGGATTAAGAGATGTTCCTTGTAATTTCTTTTGGAATAATAATGAAGCCTGGTGGTGTGTAAAATACTCAAATTTAAACTTCAAACCAACCTTGGGTGGGGGTGGGGGTGGCGTAGGGGATGAGTGAGACAGTATATTTATGGGCCTTCATAATATACGATGTAGTTTATTTCTATGCTGAGAGTTCGACATTTAGTGTGGATGATTTATGTACTTCTCTGCAAAAGCCTTTGTTCCTCGTACGTACAATGGGTTTACTGAGTACCTCGGCTTCTGTTCTGCTGTTCTAATTAAGTACTTGTTAGTTAACATTTGTGAGAAGTAAATTAGTAATCTGTCCAACTTAAACACGGAGCTATTGCTTCATCCATGAACAGAACGATCAGTGTTTAGTAATACAATGCATGTAGTTCTTAAAGAACAGTATATTGTAAAATAGAGCATATCAAATTTTGAATTTTGAATCAAATAAGAGCTGTCTTGAACTTTAACTTAGTAGGAGCAAATATTTGTTTTTTCGTAGTATCCTTTTAGATAATTTTTGTGAGACTACATTATATGGAATAAAATTGTTCAACAGATTCTTCTGTAATTTTTCTTTGATTAATTCAATCATTCCATTTTTCTATGTATTTTCAATAGAGGTCACCGATCAAAACTTCAAGGATGAAGAAGCCAAGTCAAGCTGCATGCCTTTGGTGAAAAGGTTGAAGAAAGCTGCAGCTGATGGTTCAAGCAGTGATCAAGTAGAGTGGAATCTTTATTCTTTGTCTGATAAAGGTCCTAAATAACTTGGATTGTCTTGCATATCTTTTCAAATTCCTTTAACCTGCAGAGTGTGCCGTTTGGAAAACTTCACACACCAGATGTTTCAATTAGTAGTAATGGAACCTCAGAAAATAGAGGACATGAATTGCTATCAGAACTCCCAGAGTCCATTTCCCAAAGTCTGATCTGCCGTACTTTCTTATGGGAGCTGAGAGAATATGCAACACATTGAACCATCAGCTTTTACAGTGGATGCTGATACAAATTGAGAGAACTGACAATTTGCATGGTGCTCTTTCAAGAATTTGTTGAGACTTCTGTAAAGGAAAATCAAACGTTACAACAACTCTATTCTTGTGGAATTTTGCGCTGGTTAGGTTATCCATGGGTGTTTGATGTAACATAGTGTAACGGATAAACTATTAATAGCAACTTGCCTAGACAAAGTAAAAATTGTGATTTTATATGATTTTTTGTCAGAATTTTTGGATAGTTAACGAACCGTTTAGGTATTCCAAAATTAGTATTACATTTCTTTAGGCAGCTTCATGATGTTTCATTACAATAATTGTACCTAAAGTAGTTGAAAAGATAAAGTTGGAGTTGTATTTTTATCAATGATTATTATGACTTTCTTTTCTTAGCAATGAGATTTATTATTTAGGATCTGGCATCTGTTTATGTGCGTTGAACTATGGTTCGCTAATAACATTTTTTCTCAGTTTTTGGGCAGTGGTGCAATTAAATTGTCCATCGTATCAAAATGCTTTCTGTTTAATTAGACTGGTTGGAAGTACTTGGTTAGATTTCTTGTAAATCTTCTACGTGAATGCAGCGTGTGAACGAGTCCTCCTGATTTTTCTAATGGTCAGATTTTTTAACCATTTTTAAAATTTTATTTAACTGTTATTTTAAAAATTTAAAATAATATTAATTACCTTTCTGTTATTTATATTGTTATTAGTCATTTAATTTTTATTTACTTTTCATATATGCATGTACAATAATATAGAAATGAAATAAAAAAAATTATAAATACTTGATTAAAATAAGAAAATTTATTCCATTTCTTAATTTATTTTAGAGAAATTTTAAATAGCACTTATAAAAGATCAAACCCCTTCCTATAAAAAAAAATATAGGAACGCGACTACGATCCTTATTTTCTTAGGTTAATTATAGTGCAGCATTATCTACCAGAACAATTGGAAGATTCTTTACCATATTTGCTTGTTGCATAAAAAAAGTCAAGGATAGCAATCTTATTTATATAGTGTAATGCATTGATACTCTACACTAATAATATAGTATAAGAAAAAGTGGCAATGAAAGTGATTTGTGCAAATAAAATCTAGGCTTTGAGAGAGACTCTTTGTTTTAAATTAGTCGATCAGCTTGATTTGAATTAATCTAAAAATGAAGTGTAATGTCGTGGTGGGAAGTATAATCTCATTGTTGGAGCTTTTAGAATAATAATGATAATAAAATATTGATTTGTTCATTCAAAATGACGTGTTATTATATTAGTTTTTATTTATTTAATAAAAAATTATATCCACAAATGATTGGTTAATATGTTATATATATTGTTTTCTTTAGTGATATGTTTAGTAAGAAAGAATAAGAGAGGAAAGAGTAAATTAAATAAGGAGTTTTTGGAAGAGGAAAACCATATGGAACTAATTTTAAAAGGACTGAAATTCAATCTATTTTTTTGGTCTAATTTTGTCCATTTATTTTTATCTTTCTAGTTATCCTTTTTTTTTTCAATCAAATATCTTTAATTTTAAATTTATCTTTTTATCATATCGTTTTAATTTTTCAAATGTTTTGTTACTAAAATAGTTTTTAAAAGGTTTAATTTGATGTCAGATGCTTCTTTTAAAACTTATTGTCATTGATTTGATCTTCCATAGCCATCTGTATTGTGATGTTTTGGTGTTTTAAGACTATAATTTGGTTGTTTAATAAATTTTAGAAGACTAAGTTAGTGATTTTAGAAAACTAATTGATGATTTGCTATATTAATAACAATTCATGATGCCAGATTTTATACTGGAAAGAAAAATTTACCTAACTGTAAATACGGATAATGGAAATGATATCACTAAATATATTTTTCGCTTAAGTTTTTGTTTTGATTGTAACAATTACAATCGCTTTTATTGTAGTTAGTTTTTTTTTAACTTTATTTTTTCTTCTAGGTATTTGTTGACCTCTATATAACTTTGTCTTTTTTATTTATTCCTAACTTCTTTTTTTCTATTCAATGACAATTTCTTTAAAATTTGAACTTTCAGATCAAATTTATCACATAATTTATAGTACAAACTACGTGAACCAGTGATCATCTTTATGGAATGATTAGATGATGCATGAATCAAAATAAAAAGATATTCTCTTCTAAGAAAACATCATTTAACAAAAATTTTACTCTATTATCACTTCTTAGATATTTCAGTTTAGAATTAAATTATATCAAATATTATCTTGTTTCAGATTTGTTTTTCTTGAATTACTCAAATAAACTTAGAGTAATCACATAATGTAAAAAAATATTTATCACCAAACAAAAATTACTAAATATGGTTCTAAATATCTCCATGAAGAATGTCAAAATCTTTATTAGAATATGTTTAGTAATAGCTTTTATGTTTAACAATATGACAAATATCACATAGAAAAAGTGCTTAAAATAGTGAGAAATAAAGGAAATTATTTTGAAATAACTTGTAAAACAAAATCAAAATCAGAAATATATCCTAGTTTAATGTGCCAAAGTGAAGCATCATTGGACATAGCAATAGTAAGATGAATAGAAACAATGCGATTCGTATCTCATTATGGTTGAAGATTTACATAAAGAGCTATACAAGTTGAATTAAGGCACTCTATTGGTTTCAAAATTTTACATTGTTAAGAACCGTTAGGAATAAATTGATAATTTCATCTCTCTAATTGGGTTTTTGCACCAAACTAGGCATATTTGCCTTCAATATTATCGAAATGGGCAAATTTTGACCCAAAGTGAAGTCGTGGGGGCTAAAACGACTTGAAATGAAGAAGTCGTGCCCCGCCTGCACGACTTCACACTGTTCATTTGTTCAGTGTTGAAGTCGTGCACCCCAAAAACGACTTTTGAGTGCTGTAATCGATTACAATGAACTGGTAATAGATTACAGATTGTTGAAATCGTGACCCCCCTACACGACTTCAAATGAGTAGGTAGAAAACGTACTGGTAATCGATTACGACACTTATGTAATCGATTACCAGTGTGTTTTTGGTTCAAGAACCACTCTGGTAAGCGATTACAAGGTTGTTGTAATCGATTACCAGTGTGTTTTTAGTTGGTTTTTGAAAATGATTTTGCAATTAACATATTTTATGTATTGGTTGTGTTATACGAGAAGAGAAAATAAATATTAATAACAAATAATAATAGTAATATAAAAAAAATCGATTTGATTACAATTGGGTAAAATTAAGAAAAAACTAATGACGAAATGGACAATTTCCCCTATGATGACCTTCATTGCGGCAGTAAGAGCATTTTTTTGGCTTATCTGGATTAGATTGATCCATTTCATTATGAAACCTATTTGTAGATGATCTTCCGAATGCCTTGCGTCGCATTTTAGGATCTGGTATGAAGTTTGGACCTGTATACGCAGACCAATAATCTTGATTTTGGATTGGGTGAAATTGTACTTCGTATGCCTTGAAAATGTTGTTAAGACTGTACACTGGATCGATTACTTGGGTTAGTGGGATATGCGAAAATGCACAAACAGCAATGACATGATGACATGTGAGACGAGTAGCCTGGAAGTGACCACAATAACACCACCATTCATTTAGGCTGACCTTATAGGAAAGTGGAACAGGGCGGTAGTGGTGAGGTGTTGAAATTTCCTGAACACAAATCAGAATTTCACGGTTGTAGCGATGAAGATGACAAAATGCGGATTGTTGTTGGTTTTTCCTAATGATGTCAGCGATTTGTTCAGGATATTGGTGTCCTGCTTGTAGCATACAGTTCGCCTTTAATCCCTGTTCAACAAACCATTATTGTGTCCTCTCAAATGTTGTTATGATGAGAGTACATATTGGTAATGAACGTGCTCCCTTTAAAATGGAGTTGGTGCACTCAGCAAGATTAGTGGTCATATATCCTATCTTCTCCCTCCATCAAAAGCCTGAGACCATTTTTGTAACGGGATTTTATCTATCCAATCAACTTGTTGTGGGTATTGGTTTCTGAGTACAACAAGTTTTGCCGTCACAGTTGGTTGCTTGACCTCGTAAGCTGTAATGATGTAATGAATAAATAAATTAAAGAATAATGTTAACAAAATTATATAAAGTAGATAAGTGTTATTAAGAATGTTTGTAGTAGTACCTAATTGATGAATTGTTTTTGAGGTCATGATTTTTGAATTTGTTGTTGAAGTTGGATGCTAGAGACGTATGCAATAAACAGAGTTCAAACCATCTTGTTCTCCAACCAACTTTTCGATCTTAAGGCCGATAGGATGCCCTTTCCTCTATCAGTGATGATGCAAATATTTTGTTGAGTGGCAAACATGTTCTCGAAGTAGTTGAAAGAACCATATCAAGGCCTCCTTTGTCTCACCTTCTACAATGGCAAAGGCCAATGGAAAAGATTTCTATTGCCATCTTGAGCTATGACGGTGAGCAATGTTCCATGTATTTACCCGTTAGAAATATACCATCAACTTGGAGAATGGGTTTACAGTATTTGAATCCTTGTATGCAAGGACGAAAGACCAGAAAACTCTTTCATAATATAGCAATTATTGTCGGTTTGTCCATCAATTTCCACTGGAGAACAGTGCATTGTAAAAATTGTACCTGGGGTTTGATTCCTTGACGGCATGCAACCACCTCGGCATGTGGTTATAAAGAGTCCTCTCATTCTCCAAACTCCATAGCAAGAGCCTTTTTGTTTAGCGATCCAAGCTTTTCTGTATGACACAGAATATCCGAATCGACCTTAATATCTGCAATCAAACTCTTGATTGGAATGGATGGGTTTGTCCGGATTGAATTTGATATGATCGCAAGCAATGTGAGTACTATCAAGATTTGTATGATCTTCAGATAGTATTTGTTGAGAAACACGAATGTTGTCCGTCTATTTTTTGATTTCCCAATATTTACGGACTTTGCTATAAGCTGCCCTCAAAACGCCATTTACAACCGTTGTGATATTCCACACAACGAATAACATAAATGTTGGGCTTCGATTCAATGACGGTGTATTTGTAACCGTTGGTTATGTGATAATGTTTGATTGCAACAATAGTTTCGTCCTTTGACTGAAACTACATACGTTCATTCAACTCTGGAAGGACATGTGGAGATGATTGTGTGATGTGGTCGTCGTTGTTGTCATCTTCAAGTATGTTGTCTAATTCATCATCGGTGCTGAAGTCATCAACG